CAGGGCTGCCTCCTCCTCAGACAGTGCTGAGTCCTATGGATACTGTGTTCCCAGGGCAGGGCTGCCTCCTCCACTGACAGTTCTGAGTCCTATGGATACTGTGTTCCCAGGTCAGGGCTGCCTCCTCCACTGACAGTGCTGAGCCCTATGGATACTATGTTCCCAGGTCAGGGCTGCATCCTCCACTGACAGTTCTGAGTCCTATGGATACTGTGTTCCCAGGTCAGGGCTGCATCCTCCACTGACAGTGCTGAGCCCTATGAATACTATGTTCCCAGGTCAGGGCTGCCTCCTCCTCAGACAGTGCTGAGTCCTATGGATATTATGGTTTTTATTTTTTTCTATATCTTTGTTAAAATTTACAAATTAAGTACAGCAAGGTATTAACAAAATTCAACAGTCATAATGTAATAAAAGGTATGGTGATGAGCTACTATTAACTAAAACAAGGGTTTTTTGAACATAAGCTCTTACCTGACAGTGTATCTGACCTATACGGCTACTGATGACCCACAGGCAGGTAGTGTAGACAGTGTGAGATTTCATCCCACTGCTTCGAAGAATGGTGTCCCATTTAACACTGAGGAAGTATTTATGTCTGGAATTTTCCATCTAATATGTCCAGACTGAGGGTAATTGTGGGCACGAAAGTGTGGAAAGCAAAACCATGGATGGAGGCACTACTGAGTTCTGCTGAAATATGCTGGTTACAGCAAGCCCGGGTTGCTCAAGGAGAATGCTTCCTGTTTAGGCTGCTAGCCCTAATCCTTGTACCAGAAGGACATTGCTGCGTGTGGCTAAGTGCTCAACGAGCGAAAGGAAACAAACAGAACTGTTCTTTTTCTAAGGTTCACTGCAGTAGAAGAAAATGACAGATAATCCCAAGTAGAAGACTACAGATAAACCGATGTGTGCATCCAAATATGTGGAACAGAGGAAACCTCACCTGTAAGAGTAAAAGGTGAAAATCCCATTGTGGCTGAGTTTTGCACCTCCAGCATAAGCACCACCTTTTTCTCGAATTTCTGTATGCAGAAACTTGGCAGTCATCAAGCATGCAAGGATTTTGAGACTGAAATGGATTAGAAAATCCTGTTAAAAACATGTCTGATAAAAAAGCATGCAGTGAAATAATTATTGGAATAAGTGAAAATGAAAATAAACTCAATCTGTAAAGTAATGCCATATAAATCATGGTCCCATATTTTGGTCTTGTTTTTTACAAGATGGGGGTCTCGCTGTCTCCAGGCTGGAGTGCACTGGTGCAGTCACAGCTCACTGTAGCCTTGAACTCCTGGGCTCAAGGGATCCCCCCTCCCCAGCCTCCTCAGTAGCTGGGACTACAGGTATATGCCACCAAGCCTGGCTATTTTTACGTATTTTGTAGAGGCAGGGTCTAGTTTTGTTGCCCAGTCTGGTCTCAAACTCCTGGCGTCAAGCAATCTTTCTGCCTTGAAAGTGCTGGGATTACAGGCAAGAGATTTTTTTTTAATTACCAAAACTAAAAACCACAAGGAAGAACAATTTTCAAAGAGTTGGCTTAGATTACAGGGTTGAAGTGAGAGGTGGTGGGGAGGAAATCTGAACACTTCCAGCATCACACTGCTTCACTTGTTCCAATGTATACATGTCATTTTAAAATCTGATCAAGTAGAAAGAGGTTATTTCTACTGTAAAGGCAAATGTGCAAATGAACTTCTATTTAAATGCCTCACATTAGAATACGGAAAAAAAGGAAAGTTAAGTCAGAGTTTTGTAGGAATCCCTTAAGAAAACACACACACTCCGCTAAAGCACATTTCTAGCAGCGAAGCTGATTTCCTTTGCCTTCCACTGTGAATGGTAGTATCACACTCTAGATGACTCCAGAATGCATCCACCTTCGACAGAAGGCAGAGCCATGCCTGCCACTGCAGGGAAGTCAATGATGGTAGCATCTGCAGTAGACACAGGCTCCCCAAAGATGCCCATGGCAAGATCAGCCCCAGGTCCCTGCTTCTACTACACCTTTTCCCAAAGCAGATGAAGGGGGTCAAATAGGCCAGGTGGGAAATGGAGGAAGGAGTGGGCGTGTTCCCAGCGGCTGTGGTAGAAGTCACAACCATCTAGCGTGGGTCCACCAGGAGAAACCCGGCACCACTTGGGTGGCTGGGGCACCATCAGCTGAGAACAGCGAGGCTGGAGCCAGACCCTGGGGGAGGGAGCCCTGACGCACCAACAGGGACTGGCATTTCATCTGTCCATATGATACTCTTGAGAAGCTTCTATTAATTGTATATTACATTAAAAGCACATGCTCATTGTTGAAAGATTACAAAATACCAAAAGCCAGGAGAAAAACATCTATTAGCCTCTTCACAGTTTCCATGTTTTCGGTCTACATCTTCCTATTGGACGGCGCGAACAGGTATCACTATTCTGCTGGCACAGCAGACAGATATCTACCTTTTGCAAATACGGAAATAAACGGACAAAACAGCTGAGCCACTATCATCTTTTCTACAGATCTGAGAGCTCTTCTCTTTCTGGGCCCCCACTGCAGCCCCACGTTTCTTCCTGCCTGGCTCCTCCGCCCCTCCTGTGACACACATGTACCCTGAAGGCCCGGCTCCTTCTCCAGTCAGGACAGGCTGCACAGGCCTAGCCTGCCTTCCCCTTCTACCAGGCTCCCTCTTTGGTTTAGGCCCTCATGGGGGTAGCTGCCTGGGACAAAGACACAGGAAGTGAATTTCCGGGATATAAGATGCTTGCACATATCTGTGTCACACTCACACACCCAATTGACGGGTCCCCAAAGGTGCACGTCTGTGAGTCTGTCTTCCCGGTCTAGTCAGTTTCCCCAGATGGGATGAACACAGACATGGGGCAGCCACAGTTCAGAAGGGCCTGGAGGGGCCAGTCTGTGGGCTACAAATTCGCTCACTTCATGCCACTTTGAGAGCAGACCTGACCCTGACACTCAGCTGTGGCTTCAGCCCTTCAACCAAGGGCCTCCTTCCCTGAGCTTCTGACTTGGTGGGGAGATGAGGGAGGTGTACTCCTTAGAGCAACTGTGAGCTGGCCTCCAGCCCTGCCAGCTGCAGCACTCTGCAGCACCCCTGGTCTCTCCCCACTGCCCTGTCCCTCCGTGGCCCATGCCAGGCACCCCCACCCACCCACAGTCATGATCATGAGGTTCTCCGGCAGCCCCCACAGTTGCCTCCCACTCTTTCCTCCGTGGCTTCCTGTCTTAACCTGCCTTTGCTCTCGTTCCATGCATCTGTCTTCATGAAGGCTTAATCTGCCATGTGGATCAGAAATCAGCCTAAATTCACTCAGTTTTTACCTAGAGATGAGGTGAGTACATGGGGCATTTTGAAAGGAGTCTGTGTTTAGGGTCACAGATACCTGTTTTGTTTATAGGAATCCTCAAGAATAGAAACTGTTTATAAAGGTGACTGGCTCTAAAGCTGGGCCTTTGCTCACGAAGACTCTGCTGTTTAAGGAGGAGCGCTCAGAGACATGCAGCCCCTGGCCCAACACTCGCAGTTGGCGTGGACTTCCCACTAAAACACACCCTGCGAACTCCAACAGGCTTGACAAGCTGCTTCCATAAGGCTCAGGCCTGGGAGGGCCCGACCTCCACCCTCCTACCTGGCATGATCTGGGTCCGTGTAGGGGACAGTTCGGATGCATTCGCCCACGTAGTTCACTGGGAAGGGCATCAGGAAGTGGGTCTTCATCTGCCAGGGCTTGAAGGTGGGTTCCTGAGGGACAAGGTATAGTCAGAGGCTGTGCTGCCAGGCACTGCCCACAGCACTGGGACACAAGAGCAAGACACTGCAGTTATGTCACTTCAAACAATTTCTCACTGCAAAACATCAAGTCCTCCAATTCTGACATGATGCTTTACTGTTCAATTAAAAACATTTCCCTCCACACCGTTTCTATCACAGCTGATGCTCTGGGAATGTGTTAAATCACTCTACTCCACAAGGAACTGAACCAAACTGCATCAGAACCACGCTGAGGGAGGGGAAAAGATCTGTCAGGCTGCTCCACTGGTGTAGACTCAGCTCAGGAGCTATGTTCAAAGGAGGGTGAGCTGCCCAGGAGTAGACCACCCAGAGCAGCAGCCCTCACCTCCTCAGCACAGGAGGACGCACCCGCACCAGGGCCCTCACCTCCTCGGCACAGGAGGACGCACCCGCACCAGGGCCCTCACCTCCTCGGCACAGAAGGATGCACCCGCACCAGGGCCCTCACCTCCTCGGCACAGGAGGACGCACCCGCCCCAGGGCCCTCACCTCCTCGGCACAGGACACACCCACACCAGGGCCTTCGCTCAGCACAATCAAAGAGAAAAAGCTCAGGGTGGCAGTGACAAAGGACACACTGAACTCACAACTCTAGGGACATGCCGGCCCCACAGACAGGCAGACGGAGAGACGATCACCATCAGCGGCAGACACAGCCGTAGAGGGATGCACCCGACCACTGGGAAGCCAGATGGGCTGTGGTTCTTACCATGACCAGCTTCCTAATGATCTGGGAGCCGTTGCGAGCGTGGGCATCTCCATCAGAGCTGCTAGGCGCAGGTTTCTGAAAATCAAGTTCCCAAGAAAAATGAAAAATCCAAAACTCACCTGAAACAGGTAAGAAGGAACAGAGTTTATAGAACTCACAGAGCTAATAACAAGTGTTAGGGTGGATTTCAGTATTTTAAATAATAAATGCTATAAAGGAGAAAAATTTATCATTCATGGGTTACCATATGGAAAATTTTTTAAAAAGATAGAAAATAAAAATAGGCTGCGCATAGCGGCTCCTGTCAATGAGGTAGGAGGACTGCTTGAGTCCAGGGGTTTGAGACCAGCCTGGGCAACGCAGGGAGCCCCCATCTCAACAAAAACATTTAAAAATTAGCCAGTCATGGCGGTGCATGCCTGTGGCCCCAGCTACTTGGGAGGCCGAGGCTGGAGGATCACTTGAGCCCGGGAGGTCACCATGGCTAGGCTGCAGCTAGCTATAATGGCACCGCTGCACTCCAGCCTGGGTGACAGAGCGAGGCCCTGTCTCAAAAAATTAAAAACTAAAGAAAGAAATAAAGAGAATAATGAAATAAATGAAGAAAATTTTAAAATGAATTTTCAGATGGTCAAGAAAAAGGTGGCCTTGTTATACGGTGCAAAGAAAATAAGCTTCTTTCCTCCTTCTGCACTTTCTCGTCGTAAATCTGTCAAATCAAGAGGACATGTAAAGGGCAGGGAGACCATGCCCAGATAAGAACCAGGGACACAGACACCAACGGAGAAGGCGTCAGAAACATCCTCTGCAAAATCCACACTGTCAGCCTCCCCCACTGACATCCGTGAACTAGATTACAACCCTCTTTGTAAATTAATCAGATTTATTAAATTAGTTATCACCGACATAACTGTTCTACAGACAAATTCATGGATTCATGAGTCAAAGAAACAGCAGTGAAGCAGCCTTCTTCAGGCCACGGTTTTGGGCTGTTCCTATGCCAGAGTAACCCAACCGAAGTCTTTCTTCCTGTCAGACTACTTGCTGCAAGGCACAGAGTGAGTCCAGAATCTAAGGCTACACCGCAGGGTCTGAACTTACTTAACTGGGCCAACACTGGACTAGACACTTAATCCTCCTGAACCTCAGTCTCTTCACGTGCGTAATGAGAGATATGAACAACCACATGCTGGATTGTTCTGAGACCTGAGTTAATACATGTAAAACCCGAGAGCTGCCCCTGCCAGGCATGCACCAGGCGCCAGTGCCACCATCAGTGCATACCTCGACCACGTGTGGACGCACGGGCCTCCGTTCCTTCTTACTTCGACCAATGCTTCTAAGGAAGTTTTCTACCACTTTTTCTGTCTGAGCCATCTGCTGAGGAGTCGCATTCACTGAACACCTGTTTGAAAGTTATATATACATAAAACCATCGTTAGAAAAAATAGTTTTAGTAATTCATCACATTTTATATAAATAATTCAAAAATAAAAATGTTTTTTATAAAAAATACTTTCAAAGATGAAAAGGTGACAATATGGACAATATGCTCTAAAATATTTTAAAATAAGCTATACTGCATTTTAATGCTTTTGCTTTTTAAAAACAACTTAATATTAGCCAAATGCAGAAATAACACAGCCACCTTCCTGCTTTGTAGTGCTTCGAGTTACCAAGAAATTTCCACAGTTCAGTGTGTCAGCTAATAAAACTGTCCAGACACAGACAGCCTGAGCCTCTAAAGTCGTCTTCCAAAGGGCAAAGAAAATACAGAGATTAAGATCTGCTAACTATGCCTTCAGAATTACACTATTGAAACACTGACAACTTTTAAAATTACTGTCCAACAGTCATCAATTTGAAAATCTGAACTGGTTTTTAAAGCAGAAAACCATAAAACGCAAAAAATTACCACGCTTTCAAAGTTACATGAAAATAGAACTTTTCCAAATTCTGCAGAATTGCAGATACTATCATATAAAATCTACTTGAACTCTACAGTATATGACAAAGTGTGTATTGTTTCCTTCTGGCTGTAAATCCTAAACGTATTCTAAAGTAACAGCAGGTACCATTATATCAATACTAACTATATCCCAGGTACGTATGCTACCTTGTAGATACTTTTCCTTTTATTCCTCACAATAAACCTGCAAAGGAAAGTTTTATGGAGGAGGAAGCAGAAGGCTCAGGTGGGTCAGCTGCCCAGGACCGCCTGGGTGCAAGGTGAGTGCTGGCCATGCGCTGGAAGCCAGGCCTACCTGAGCCCAGCGCCCAGCGACCCCAACCACCAGGCCCCAGCTCTGGCCACCCACAGACCGCCCTGTACAATCTGCCAGGGATTCTCAAGACATGACTCGGGAAAGGCACCAGGACTCTCTGAAGAAGGATATGTTCTCAAGTACTGACGAATACCTCAATGTTACTGACAATACGATGCTGAAAATAAACAGTTCATCATGCTTCAACTTCAATCACGCTCACAAACCTGAGGGCATATCCTCAGAGCATCACGTGACTTTAGAAGAAACTGCACTTGTGCTCTGGTCCTGAGCAAGCTTACCTTCACAGATCTGCCGTTTACCAACCATTTGCTGTGGAAGCAATATAACTAAGTATTTGCCCTCAATCTATTTGCAGTTCTAGAACACAACTACCCTATGTTCTTTCCTATCTCCAACTTTTAATAAGCTTAAAATATTTTTTTCTTAGTTTACTAGAGCACTTGACTTCTACAATAAATTTTATAACCTATACCTCTACCAAGTACTCTATCTTGAAGTTCCTATAACAAGTGAAAAATACCTAAAAACTACACTTAATTATTTAAAAACAATCACAAACGTACCTCATATTATCACCATTTAATAGGTGCTTCTTGATACGCGGGAGCTTCCTCAGGATGGGTTTGATGTCTGTCATTTCTGCAATCCTCTTCATCAGCCGTACCTGAAACAGAGGAAGCTCACTCAGCCAGAGGCCACGAAAGACCACTCAGCGTGAGCCACGCACCCATGACATCAGAACTCTGTTTGAGCAGGGGTTATGTGTGTGAGTGTGCGGCTTGAGGGCTGGAACGGGGGTGCAGGAGTGGTATAAAGAGGAAGATGAGTTAAAACCAACCAACCAGGCCGGGCGCGGTGGCTCAAGCCTGTAATCCCAGCACTTTGGGAGGCCGAGGTGGGTGGATCACGAGGACAAGAGATTGAGACCATCCTGGTCAACATGGTGAAACCCCGTCTCTAATAAAAATACAAAAATTCAGCTGGGCATGGTGGCGTGTGCCTGTAATCCCAGCTACTCAGGAGGCTGAGGCAGGAGAATTGCCTGAACCCAGGAGGCGGAGGTTGCGGTGAGCCAAGATCACGCGCCATTGCACTCCAGCCTGGGTAACAAGAGCAAAACTCCATCTCAAAAAAAAAAAAAAAACAAAAACAAACAAACAAACAAACAAAAAAACCCCAACCAACCAATTTTTCCCTATATTTGGTCAGTTAGAAAGTTAGCATTTGAGACATTAATGTATTCCCAAAGAAATCAGCAACTCGGGAACATGTGGGTAAACCAGAGTCGCACAGGTTCCTTCCAGGCTTCCCACCTGATCCATCCCACTGAAGGCCTCCCGCAGGTCCCCTGCGGGCGTGAGGGTCCTGCCAGCCCTGATGGATGCGTACAGGTGTCCGGAGTCGGGAATTCCATTGGCAAGCTCCTGGGCGGTCATCTTCACCAGCACTTTGAAGTGCTCTTCTTCTTCAAAGCACGGGCTATGAAAAAAGGCAAAGAATAAATTCCTGGAGACCCTTTCATCATGCCCCTTCAATATCATGGACAGTTTATTAAGAATAAGTTTTCAGACTATTTCACCAACCAAAGAAATTTTCTAAGTCCATATGAATAACAAGTAAAACCACCTGGAAGTCAACAACCAATACAAGTAAAATTGTCTACTTTAAAGTACTTCAAACGAAGATGTCTGGCACAGCCCAAGAATGGACAACTCTTCAAATGCAGTTACTTGTTAAATATTTCACTCCATAGATGCATCATGTCTGGCAAGTTTCGATCCAGGCAGAGAGAGGAGAAAAGCACACCCTGAAACACAGAAAACACAGCGGAGGAATGGAATTAGGGGCGAACTGCACAGTAACAGAAAGCCACTGGAGAAAAACTTCACCACAGCCGTCATCTAACAGTGACAGGCTACCTGCTCGTAGGTGTCCATGTGTGAGTCGTCGGGGAGCACGTGGGGAGCAGCACTCATCCCTCCAGTCTTCAGTTCGATCTGCTGAGCCTGCTCCCGGTAGTCAAGAAGGCCGCAGCCCAGCCTGACAGAGGAGAGACACATCGTGCCGATTACAAGGAAATCTTGACAGAACCATTTTTAAAATTGTGCATCTTTAAATACAAGTTGCTTACATTAATTCAATAACTACAGCTCTCCCAACCTCTTTACATTTCGAAGGTCATAAAGCAGGAACACACTCTGGCCTTTGCCCTCAGGAGTTCACGTGCTCTCTCCCAGGGAGACACCAGCTTCTCATGCCTAAGAAGTCAGTGTCCAGGGGCACAAGACACTTTGGGAGGCCTGTTTCTGCACTCAAAACAACATTCTAAAATATGCATTTCCAGGCGTGATCGTCTAAGTAAATGTTTCATGAATACCCCCTACTCTCTTCGCCCACTCCCTGTGATACAAACTTCCTTCTCTCAAATGTCTGGTAGCCTAGCAGGGGAGTCCAAAGACTACACACTAAGTTTTTAAGAAAAGCATCTTCATCTCAGCACTCATGCTTTTGAAAGAAACATTCCTAGTGATACTGCTAATGCCAGAAGTCATTAACTTAGTCAAGGAACAACTGTAAGTGTTTTCTAAAGTGCTGCGAAAGGATGAGCAGTGGCCCTCTATTTAAAAAGAAAGCCAGGGGCCTTTCAAAACCCTGAAGACACTTTCCATCTGAGCAGATCCTCAACCAGGGTGCAGAAGGCATCACAGCCAGGTAGCTTTCTGCAGCATGAGGACAACTTCACTGTCACGAAGCGAAGACACCGGATGCTCACCAGGTTGGGCAACGGCCCCCGAAGCTGGCTGTAGGGTTCCCTGTCACCTGATTTTCCTGGATAGGAACGGAAGCCCACAGCCCTGTCTACTGCTTGTCCTGCAACCCTCAAGCTGGCAGAGCAGGGCAAAAGGACAAGTGGTGATGTGTGCACTCGGGTGTGTGTTTCCTGATCTGTGCACACACCACCTTGGGAGGACGCCAGCAATGCAGTCAGCTCGGAAGAGCAACGCAGACAGCAGGACATCCATCTGTCCCCAAGGCAGCCTCGGGCCACACTGCACACTGAACTACCCAAACTTTCAGATTAAACAATCATTCCTTGCCAAAGCGTAACAGATTAGTATGCTGAGACAGAGATCTATAAGCATCTCCTTATATTATGCCGGGGATTCATAAATATTTCAATGTACTATAGTAAGAAAATGTTACTTTCATAAAAACAAATTCTAAACCAACATACCGTACACTTTACTTACACATTAACACTGTTAAGTAGTGACTCACTGAAGGTAATTCCTACTGATGCATTACAACAATAGAGATATGCACACAAAGCAGATATTAGTAAGACACAAGGGCATGCTGCAACTCGTACTTGGTGAGGACGCTGCAGAAGAGGGGCACGTAGGGCCTCAGCTCCTCGGGGAGTGTGTTCAGGCTGCAGAAGGCCCGGAAATACACCACGCCATTGGTGGGCTGAGGGCAGTACTGAACAGGGATATCTCCAGCTAGGAAAACAAAAGGGATTTAATGTTTACTGCTGCCAGTATAATTTTAACCATATTTAATATTTAAAAAACAATGCTACTGCTTTTCAAGAATGGAAATTCAAGACTTAGAGTTTATATAAATTTCCCTGTTGCATTTTCATGATTACATCCGGAATTGTCTTCAATAGTAGAGCAACCTGCGCTCTCCGAGGAATGGGAATGGAAGGACAGAGCCACGGCCTGCTGGTCTCATAACTGTGAGTTCCGGCAGGTGCGCCCGCCTCTCTCCACCCCACCTTCCTTACCCAACCTCTCCCCAACAACCACAGAGAACTCCAACCAGGTCCCCTCAATGGCCCCTGGGCCCACATCACACCCGTCCTCAGCACTGCTCATCTTCCCCAACAGGCCCTGCCACCCGAGGGCTCCAAACAAGGCTCCTGGTGCCACCCCCCCACTCCTCCTGACCTCTTGAGGGAAGGGCTGAGCATTCAGCTTTGTATGTTCCTACCTAGCAGAGTGCCCCAGACCAGCAGAGACACCAAGGCATGAACAGATGTCTCATTTACTGTCACTCATTGTTTTAGTGAACACTTAATGAGATTCAGGACATAAAAACTGCAGGGGTTAATAGATCAGAGGAATGTTTGCCTCGATTCTCACAAGTGCACACACACACAAAAAGAAATCAGACGGAAGCACGGTGAGTGCTGCCAGAAGATAAAAATGGGTTGGAGACGCTTCACAGGACACAGGAATGCCCAGGGCGAAATCTCATCCCCATCTTTGAGACGCAAGTGACAGCCATGCTCCCCTCAGCTCAGTAACACCTGGCCACACCCACTGGCAAGCTCAGCATCAACACCGTCCCAGGTAAGGTTACCCTAGAGATGCCTCTCCTGCTACAAGCCAGGAGCCAGAGAGAAAGGAGGTGCCCTGAGAACTCAAAAGCAGTGACAGACACGGGGCAAAAATTACCATGAATGAAACGCACCACAGCAAGAAATGCCAGGACGAGGCAGGGGGTGCACCTGGCCTCCGAATCCCTTTCAGCTCCGCGCCCACTCTCTCGAGGCACTCTTGCCCCCCGACTTCCTCTCTATGTGGACGGCACGGTTAACAGTTGGGACAAGGGGCTCTGAGGATGCCTCTATTTTCAAAACTGCACTTAATACAGTCACAGCATAACCCAAATCCTCATGATTCTAGAAGCAGCGAATCAGAGTGCCCTAGCAAACCCACTCTCAGAAACACACACATAGGCTCTTACTGAGTGAAGGAGTCTATGGCCACTGAGAATTAGAAACTAGGTATAAGACATGCAGAGGCCGAGACTATGAGTGAGCAGGGAGCACCTCCAAGATGTGACTCTACTGCTGCTGTGAGGAGTGACATTTCACTCCACAAAGGAACCCCAGCCCCCATGAAAAGCAGTGTTCCCAAGGACCTGTCAGGACCACGTCCAGCTCCGTGGCAGGTATGGTGGGCTCGATATCTGAAACTTTCAACGCTGGCAGGCAAGAGGCATCCTGAGGTTTGCTTTGCCGCGTCCGTAATTCTAAACCTAAAAAAGAAACAAGAAAAAGGAACATTCAGGACCATAATGAAAAGGGCTGATGCAGCTTATCCCTTCTCTGCGTTATTTTACATCCAGAATGAGCCGTCCATGCCAAGTATGGGGAGTAAGTGAGCACTGTGGTTTGCAAAGCACCTCCTATTTCCAGGCTGACCAAACTGAGAGGCACTAATAACCTGCTTAGCGGGTAGCCCTCTCCCTAACTGGCATTCTTCTATTGCGGAACAATTCCGTCAGGGAGTGGTGGTTTGCTCAAGCTGCTTCCCCTGTACCCCTCTCCAGAGTTAACATTAAATAGATTCAACTTGTTTTTAGAGTTTTCAAACCATTTCTTGATGGACTGAAATTTAGTGATCTTTATACATATTTTCTTTTTGTTTTGAGACCGGGTCTGGCTCTGTCACCCAGGCTGGAGTGCAGTGGCATCATCTCGGCTCACTGCAGACTCTGCCTCCCGGGCCCAAGTGATCCTCCCGCCTCAGACTCCTGAATGAACGGCTGGGACTACAGGGCACACCACCGTACTTGGCTAATTTATGGTTTTATTTTTTGGTGTGTTTTTTTTTTTTTTTTAGAGATGAGGTTTTGCCATGTTGCCAAGGCTAGTCTCGAACTCCTGGACTCAAGTGATCCTCCCACTTCGGCCTCTCAAAGTGCTGGGATTTCGGGCATGAGCCACGGCACCTGGCCCCATACTTGTTTTCTATTGTTTCATTTTCACTAATTTCAACAAAAGACTTATAGGATCACATACATCACACAAATTACAGTGGTGCTTAGAAAGACACTTCCTGGGCCTGACAGCCCATTCATCAATGACGGAGTCAGCTCCTTCACGGGGGATGCCACTTAGCCACAGCCTACGAGGAAGAGCCACAAGACCCAGATGTGGTCTCAGCCCTGATGGCCGTCAGTGGAATGGCTTCCCAGTGCAACACCGTGCCAAGCAGATACACAAATGCATTATTCCACAACTCGCAGGGAGGGCTGTGCTGAGTTCCCGCTTTAACTCACAGTCCCACAGAGAACACTCCTGGTGTCTGATGGGCTGACCTCCCCCATGTTCCACTGCCACTTTCTGAAGTTCCCTGAGGGCGTGCTGAGCACTTAGAGAACGGGCCTTGGGGCACAGTGAGCAACTCAGCGGTGTTGTGCTCCACAGGTGCCCCACCGCAGGCTCCAGCTCTTCCGCCCACCTCTGGAGCTGCAACTGCCATCATCACCCCTGCTCCCGACAGCACAGAGCTCAGACTTTCTGGGCTTTGCAGGCCTTCCCCCTCCTGTTCACCATCTAACATCCTGAGTTTCCGCTTGGAGGTTTTCTAATCTATGGCTAGGCCACAAAGCTCCCTCCTCCCTCTTCTGTGACCTGGCTTCCCCCGGGGTCCTTGGGCCCACCTGCGCTAAAAGACGCTGCAGCTACCCTGACGCCCCAGTGCTCCTTCTCTGAACGCACTCACGGTCAGTGGGAAAAGCCTCCGGCACGTCCTCTTTTTCCTTGCAGCACATCACACACTCCCTGATGGCGGAGGCTTCACCCCTTCACAGGGCTTAAGACACACACTGAAGTATATAGTTTCCCATTCACCTTTCCTGCACTGCTGTCCTCTACTGACTGGCTTTTAATTCAGAATCCTAACACTGCCATGCACACTTTAAGACTTACTGACCTGAAATAACCATTAAATGCACCAGCACTGTGTCCTCCTTTAAAGGAGCTCTGGCGTGAATGTGCAAAGGGAAAATCTGCAGTATGAGCACTGCTCACTCACCTACTGGGCTGGACTGTAATATGCTGGGTTTTCTTAAAGCTCACCTCTGAGGCCAGGCCATGAATAGGAAGTAATTTAGGAAACGTACAATCTGCTGCCTATTCATGGATTTATCACATGTGCTCACAAACAACTTCAATTAATAGTGGGAAGATTGGAGCTTGTCAATTATCACAAAACAGAGTTCAATAAGGGGGAAAAAGACTTTAAGGTTAAAAAAAAAAAAACAACAGAGCTTAAAATAGTTGTCTCTAAACAAGAATTCAAATGCAAAGAACAGGTTACAAATTGACATTAATTTTTCTTTTACCGCATTATGTCACTTCAAAATTGGCAAGATCAAAATGGAATCACTTATCTTCCACCTAACGTCCACTCTTACCTCCTGACAAGCCTGACAATTTCTCACATAACCCCAATCCAACGAGCTTTTTTGGCAGGAAAAGTGCATCTGTGTATGTGTTGCATATATTTTTAAAAGGCGTTATTAATACGTAACCTACAAGCATTAATATTCACAATTGTAAACCTGTAATTCAGTGAGTTCTGACAAACGTGGCAAGTTATGAAGCCACCACATCAGAGTGCCGAGCCTGTGTGGCACCTCCCAAACTCTCCCACACTCCACAGTCAACCACATCCCGACTCCAGGCCTCAGCAACTTCTCATGTCTCTGTCCCTGAGGCCTGGCCACGTCCAAGGCTTCCCGTAGTCAGTATGTCATCTTGCGCCTGGCTCACTTCCCTTTGCGGAAAGCTTTCAAGAGGCACCAGCACCAAGTGTGCATCACTGCTGTGTTCCTTTGCAGCAAGTGGCGTTTCTTTGTAAGGACGCACATGTTGATGGAAATCTGAGTTGTTTCAAGTTTTGTGCGGACACGTTTTCATTTCTCTTGAAGGAATGTCAGGAGCAGGGCTTCCTGGGTCCAGCGCATTGCCCGGCACTGTGGAAGGAGCGTTGGGAGCAGGGCTTCTGGGCTCATGCGTGTTGGTGGGCACTGAGAGAACTGTGACGCTGTTTCCTAGGTGGCCACACCAATTTGGTTCCTTTGGCAGCATGTGAGGGATCTCCTGCCTCTCAGGATTGACAATATTTGGTGCTGGCAATATTTTTTTAAATGCTAGTCATTCTAGTAGGTGTAAACGATCTATCACCGTAGTTTAAATCTGCATTTTTCTAAGAATTATGATATATTTCCCTAAGTAATGAGATTATTTTCCATGTAATGATTTATGTGCCTATTTGCCATTAGGATCTCTTAGGTGGTATCTGTCAAAATCTTTTGCCCATGTTTTAATTGGGTTGTGTGTTCTCATTACTGAATTCTTTGTTTTTCATATATTCTAAATATAGTCCTTTATCAGACACCACTTTTGCAAATGTTTCTTCCCAAGGGCAGAACTACCTCTGAGATCCACATGGCCCCTGCTCTCCTGCGGCGTCCTGCCTGCCTTAGCTCTGCCCGGCCACTCCCCCAGCTGCCGCCAACTCCACTCTCACTTTTCTCTTCACTCCAACCACCCCGGCCGAGGTCGTCACGTTGTGCTTAGGTTTCCAATTGCCTCTCAGAAGTTTTTGCTATTCAATTTCTCAATTTTTCTTCAAAACTATCCTGAATGAGGCTGTCGTTACACTGCTAATGGCAGTTCTCCTATCTCAATACATGAAGCACCAGCATACTCCCCATCCTCCACTCAGGCCCTCCCCAGGGTCTCTGGGCGGCCTGTCTCCCCCATACATGCTGTGCTCCCTCCATGCCCACCGCTCCACATTCCGAGTGGGCACACCATCCCCATGTGCCCCACGCCTGTCCCACAGAATCCTGCTGCTGCTTCGTGGCTGGCACACACGCTCTGTGCCTGAGACAGGCCTCTTCCAACACACAGCTCTCACTGTCCACACTGCACACAGGCCACGCCTTTTTTTTTTTTTTGAGACGGAGTTTCGCTCTTGTTACCCAGGCTTGAGTGCAATGGCGCGATCTCGGCTCACCGCAACCTCCGCCTCCTGGGTTCAGGCAATTCTCCTGCCCCAGCCTCCTGAGTCGCTGGGATTACAGGCACGCGCCACCATGCCCAGCTAATTTTTTGTATTTTTAGTAGAGACGGGGTTTCACCATGTTGACCAGGATGGTCTCAATCTCTTGACCTCGTGATCCACCCGCCTCGGCCTCCCACAGTGCTGGGATTACAGGCGTGAGCCACCGTGCCCGGCCTACAGGCCACGCCTTCTACACCAGGAACAGGCCTCTACCAACACACAGCTCTCACTGTCCACACTGCACACAGGCCACGCCCTCTATACTACGGACAGGCCTCTTCCAACACACAGCACCTAATAAATAAAAAGTATTTACAAAATATGTAAAATAAGTATGTCTTTTCAAGCTATTTCTTTTCAGTTATTCTTGCCTTTCCTACTGAACTATAAGGAGGATTTTCTGAGACTATCTGAACCCGCTGCACTGAATGTGAGCTCTGTCAGTGCCCAGTGGACATCTACTGGTTGAAATAATACTTGCCTCCAACTATTAACTCACTAGCAAGTCCACCAGGCCCAAGTGCAGGTTAGGGAGCTGCACGGCTCAGAAGGACGCCTCTGACCTTTCTCGTGGACCTGCTGCCTGTCTCTGGGGGACAGGGCCTCAACCTTCTGCTTGAGCTTCGTGGCCTCCAGCTGAGCTTGCTTCTCGCGATACTTGTCATCCGGCCTCATTGATAAAGTCAGCTTATGCTGATTATTCTGCAGCAATCACAGGGACAACAAAAGCCAAGTGAAAACCAGGTCTTACAGGAACCTCACACTGAGCGAGCCTCTGCTGGTATGCTCTTGGTCCTGGAGTTCTACCTACCACTTTAAAAACCGCAATCGTAGAACATACCTCTAAAGCTGATTTGCTGATGAAGGTATGCAAGCCGTTAATGCTTCCCACCACACCTGCCTAAGTGGTAGGTACAGGATTCACATATGCTGTTATTCTATTAGGGTTATTTTAATTATTATGGTCATTAACTCTTAACCATATCAATACTAAACATTTTCATGACACTTTAGTTGTAAAAAGGTTTGCACTTTTAAGTACCACAGATCTTGGATTTTAGTCGAAATTGAAAATAATATAGAATTCTAATTTATTTTTTTGTCTAGTGTTCATTCTACTATGAACTTCTAAAAGGCTAGAACTACATTTCCCATTCAATACTTTATAAATTATTTGAACAAAATAGATGTTGATGTAATATAAAAATAAATGTTAGGTGTTTTCATGCACTTCCCCTGTTTCAACAATTAAAAAATCGCACATGCACAAAATGCTCCCATATGAAACACTACAAACAGAGGTGAGAGGACTAGAAGACATCAGGAAGTTTATGTCAAATCACAGCAGCTGCGAGAAACTGCAGGTCAAGTTACGGAATCACGTCTCTTGTCTAAAACAATGGAACCCACTGGAGAGTTCCCTTCAAAGCAGACAACAGTCTCTCTCACCAAAGTTCTACCACCTTAATGAGTACAAAGCAAGGAATATGCATCCAAGCACAGCTGCCTAAATATCTGAGAAAACAAACATAAGCCTCAAAAGAATTCACTCATGAAAACCAGAATATTTGTTACAATTGAGTGACTGTCCTCGTACTTTATATTCTTTTACTAATAAGAGAATATATGCAGATGTTTTATTCATACCCACACAGAAACATGCATATATTCACATATTAAAAATACACATGTACGTTCATCTAAAAAAAACTACTAACTTACACTAATATCTGGAAAATAATCTTTTAAGTTAATGTAAGCATTTATTATTATGATTTTTGAGACGGAGTGTCACTCTTATTGCCCAGGCTAGAGTGCAACGGTATGATCTCGGCTCATTGCAACCTCTGTCTTCCGGGTTCAAGTCCTGCCTCAGCCTCCCGAGTAGCTGGGATTACAGGCATGTGCTACCACACCTAGCTAATTTGTATTTTAGTAAAGACGGGATATCTCCATGTTGGTCAGGCTGGTCTCGAACTCCCGACCTCAGGTGATCCGCCCACCTTGGCCTCCCAAAGTGCTGGGATTACAAAGTGCTATGTCATGAGCCACAGTGCCCAGCAGCAATTAAATTTTTAATTAGAAATTAAGTCACCCATTAACAGAAATTACTTAAATGTATAGATTACATTCTTAAAATTCCTTTCATTAGTATAAAATTTAACTTCAAAATTAAAGAAATGAACTCTCCAATTTTCTTACCTTAAAATACTGTTTTACTTTTTCTTCTAAAAATTTTGGATTTTCCTGCAGGCACTGTCTGAATTTAGCCAACTGATTTCCCAACTTCAAGAGCTCCACAGGGTCCCCATCGTGGTTCCAGCAAGAAGCTATGTACTGAAAGGAAGAATTCCACATCCACAATGCAGCTGGTACCAAAAACATGGTATGACCTCCAAAAGTTGCCAAGACTTGATTGTTTATAACAAAAGTCATGTAATTCTTTGGTTGGAGAAACAAAAATAACTTCTTTTATCCCCATTTTATTCTAACAAAATAAAAAGCACTGGTTGAAATTATTTTTAGGAAATAACAGAGTACCAGTTATCATAAATCCTAACCCATTTAAAGTAATCTATTTCACATAAAAATATCAAAGCCAATTAAGCTAGTAACAAGACAAAAAGTCTATTATAAAAGTTTATATTCGATCAAAAAAGTATAACTTTCAAGGTTCAAATAAAGCGTTATCAGTATCCATCTATATTTTCAGTCCTAATCAAGATTAGCAAAGCCAAAAAACAAAAGCAAAGTGGTTGAGAAATGACTTACTGATGTCAGAGTCAGTCCAAAGCTGGTAGACTGATGTTTCATCTGTATTTCAATTTTATGAAGTGAAGCTTCAATTCGTTCATCTTCAAATCCTTTCCTAAAGAATACAATAAAGAACAAAGATGAGTCAGACACAATAGCTCATGCCTATGATCCCAGAACTTTGGGAGGCCAAGGCAGGAGGACTACTTGAACCTAGGAGTTTAAGACCAGCCTGAGCAACATAGAGAAACCCCTTATCTACTGAAAATACAAAAGTCAGCTGGGTGTGGTGGTGTACACCCCTAGTCCCAGTTAGGAGGCTAAGGTGGGAGGATCGCCTGAGGCTCGCAGGCGAGGAAATTAGTGAGCCAAGATCACGCCACTGCACACCAGCCTACGGGACAGAGTGAGACTCTGTCTCAAAACAAAACAAAAACCTAAGATGTTGCAAAGAAATAAAAGTTTTAGAAACAGATGGTAGCAGAGATAATATTTAAACAACTAAATATGAACAAACGCATGCTATATGACAGAGGCGGAAGGCCAAAACAATGGATCAGGCTCAGCTCCTCCCAAAAAGCAGGCAGGAATGAGGAACGAAAGCAGATTGTTACAAACAAGACACACTCAATGACTTCATCAATCGTTCTGTCTACTAGGTTTCTGACAGTCTCAATGTCTTCCTCTGCAATCCCCTGGAGGCCAACGCTAAAGTAGGCCTCCCTCGTGTAGCCATTGTACCTAGAAGACAAAACCAGAAATGATGCACTAGAATCCGGGCACATCCACCATGCCCTCATAATAGGCTTCATTTAAAGATCAGAACACAGAGCTTTCAACTCCAAGACTCCACCAAAAAGTGCATTAAAGCAGTGCTCTCGAGTAATTGGTTCCGTGTACATTCGTGTCGTTTTATATCTTTTTCAAAAAATAAAATTTAAACTTATGAGTTATGGCAAAATACATCTTAAAACTGAGAACGGCTGAGTTTTATAAAATTTTTAAAGTTTCTAATACTTAATAGCATGACCTTTAAGTGAGAACAGTATGGCATTCTAAGGCCCTGGAGAAGCTGTCTCTGTGCTGGGTGTCTTTTGGACAAATGCCTGCTTAAGGGACATGAACGGGTGTCTTCTTTTGGACAAATGCCTGCTTAAGGGACATAAATGGCTGGCAAGAGCTCTCTGCTGTGGTGGCCATTCTATGCACCATGAGACACTCAGCAGTTTCCTGGTCCCCCATCCTCCAACTGTAACAATCCAAAACCCAAAAATGTATGTTCCAGACATTGTCAAGTGCCAGGCGGGGACAGGGTGTGGAGGTGGAGGAGCAAAACTGCCCCCAACCAATGAGAACTACTAATTTAATCTAATCATAAACTCACCCAACATCCGGAGAAAAGTCTGTGCCAAGGCCAGATTCAATCAAGGCTTTGTAAAAGGGAGAATTGGGTCCAGAAATCAAGAGTGAAGACAGAAGACTTAATGTGAAGGCCTCAAATGTGTTGGTGATGCTGCATTGAAAACAAAAAGGAAGGGAGTAGGGGGAGAAACACAGCAAAGGGAAAATTCTTGGCCTTACGCACATTTTATTTAAAATCACTATATACCTGTCTAGAAATTCTTACATTTCAACATTTATTTTAACAACGATATGAGCAAAAGAGAATTTCTCTTAAATACTGGGATATTTTTTGAAAGGGGGGCCTAAACCATAAAATTAACTTCACTGTACATGAAATGCTCATCACCAGACAGCCTAACAAGCACTCTTCACACATGATTTAAATGAAAGGCACAGCAGCACCGCCATTAAGGAGACAAGGAACAAACCAGCAAAGGTCACAGGCACAGAGCTGCAGGCTGAGCACAGAAAGGTCAAGCTTTCCCTTGACCTTTCAAGGAAGCCCAAACCTCCCTTCCCGCACACCCCCGGGGCCCAGGCCTTCCCTCCCACACACCCCCGGAGCCCAGGCCTCCCCTCCCGCACACCCCCGTAGCCTAAGCCTTCCTTCCTGCACACCCCCGGGGCCCGGGCCTGCCTTCCTGCACACCCCCGGGGCCCGGGCCTGCCTTCCTGCACACCCCCGGGGCCCGGGCCTGCCTTCCTGCACACCCCCGGGGCCCGGGCCTCCC